GTTTAGGGTTTAGGGTTTAGGGTTTAGGGTTAGGTTTAAGGTTTAAGGTTTAGGGTCCAGGGTCCAGGGTCCAAGGTCCAGGGAAGAGGGTCTAGGGACGAGGGAGGAGGGTGGAGGGTCGAGCATAGAGTTTAGAGTTTAGGGTTTTATGGTTAGGGGTTTATGGTTCAGGGATTAGGGTTAAGGGTTAAGGGTTTAGGGTTTAGGGTTAGAACTAGGGTTTCTGATTTAAGGTTTAGGGATAAGATTTTATGGTTTAGGGTTTGAGTTTAGAGTTAGGGTTAACGTTACGCTCATGTTTAGAGTTTAGGGTTAGGGCTTAGCGTTAGGGCTATGATTTAGGGTTAGGGTTTATCAATGGAGTTATGGTTTAGGGTTAGGATTAGGGTTAAGATTTAGGTTAAGGGTTAGGGTTATGGTTAGGTAGAGTTAAGGTTAGGGTGAGGGTTTAGGGTTAGAATTTAATGTAAGGGTTTAGAGTTAGGGTTATGGTTTAAGGTCAAGGTTAGGGTTTAGGGTTGAGGATTAGGGGCTTGTCGTTGGGGCTAGGGGTTGGGGGTTGTGGGTTGTGGGCTTGGGTTTATGGTTTAGGGCTGAGGGTTTATGGTTTAGGGCTGAGGGTTTAGGGATTACGGTTTATGGATTATGGTTTACGAATTACGGTTTAGGGATTAGGGTTTAAGGATTATGGTTTGGGTATTAGGGTTTATGGATTATGGTTTAGGGATTAGGGTTTATGGATTGCGATTTAGGGATTAGGGTTTCGGGCTTAGGGTTTAAGGTTTAGGGTTAGTCTTAAGGTTTAGGGTTAGGATTTTGGATTTAGTGTTAGGGTTAAGGTTAGTGTTTAGGATTAGGATTTAGGGTTAAGGGTTAGTCTTAGGGTGTAGTGTACGGTTTGGTGTTAGGGATTATGGTTAGAATTATGGTTTATGATTAGAATTAGGGTTTGTGGTTTAAGGTACTTACTATTTCTTTATGTGTTATCTAGGGTTTACCTAGGATTTAATTAGTGAAAATGTTAGAAGGGATGAAAGGAGTGAAGTAAACATTAAAAAAATAAAGAAAAATAATTAAAGAACAAAAGAAATAAAATAAAAAAGAAGAAAGCGAGAATGAAAGATAAGGGGAAAAAAGAGAAAGGAAGGAAACAATCAAGAAATCAATAAAAGAAAAAAAACGAGAAAGGGAGAAAATAAAGTAACCAAAAAATTAAGAAAGAAAAGAAACAAGAATCAATTATGAAAGAAAATGAAAAATCATGAAAGCAGGAAGGTAAACACATAAACAAGAAAGAATGGAAGAAAGAAAAAGAATTCAAGAAAGAAAAAAAATAAACAAGACAATATAACAAAAAAATACATACAGATGTAAATATATTGTTATTGTTATACATACATATGTGAAGATATTGGCTTTCTAACATTACTAATCTAATCCTGAAACATGCAGATGCAATAGTAATAGCTACTTATATCTTATAAAACAAAACAGACACTTAATCCTCTATGAAAGTTTGAAAACTTGCAAGATTTGAATTTTTGATCTTGTACGGGGTTGTAAAAGATTATGGATAAGTAAGAGAAGAAAGGAAGTGAGAAAACATAGCCCATGAACACTTGTGACAACATTGATCCTTTGGTCTCTGTAAGAATATTGCAAGGCCTTCTCCACTCTCTCCCTTTCTATCCTTCTTGATCATTTTCTCCTCTGTTCTTTCTACATGAAGAGCTTTTGTAAACACAACAATTAATTCAGGTTGAGTTTTGACATTAATCAAGGTTAGTAGTTAATTGTAGCCTAATTCACTAATAAAATGACAATCAATATCTATATGCTTAAACTACTTATTAAGGAAGATATTGGAAACTAAGAGAATAAAAATTTATTATCATAAAAGAGCATAAATATATCAGCAAAAACTTTAAAATATATATATATATATATATATATATATATATATATATATATATATATATATTACTTCTCAAGCTATTGAGGATAAAATCATAATATTTTGATTGAGTTAAAGATTTGACATAATGCCCCATTTGATAAATTTCTAAGAATACAGATAGTTATCAAGGAAGACACAAAAACCAATTGTAGACCTTCTAGTGTCCAAACAATTACCTTAGTTTGCATCAGTAAACACTCACATCTGAAAACCGATTGTTTTGCAAAACAAATAGCCTTTAATTCAAATAATGACTAAAACTTCAACAGAACTTGATCAACATAATTCATATTATATCCAATTAAGATCATGTACAATAGACATGTCAGATTCAGGGCATCCCAATTAAATGAAATGACAGTTTCTCATTTGGAATCTGTACAATAAAATTTTTTATCAAATCACAAGACGTTTCAAATACCACGCATGAGTTACTACACATGCCAGTTTTATATAGCCCATTTGATAGTAAAGAACCAGATAACTGTGTGAATAACAGATAAACCATGCTGCGGCAATGTGGATGAAAATTTACACAATCATTGTCTTGAGTCCTGCCTATGTTCATATAAATTCACTGAATAAAAAATCTTGTAAAAAAGTAGTACACATGGACTGATTTTATATACATCACGAACTTAGCTAAGTCATGAGAAACTTAATTAACTCTAATACTAGGAACCACCCCAATTTGAGTTAGTTCAAACCCAACAATTATGAAAGAAAATGAAAAATCATGAAAGCAGGAAGGGAAACACATAAACAAGAAAGAACGAAAGAAAGAAAGAGAATTCAAGAAAGAAAAAAAATAAACAAAAGAATATAACAAAAAAAAGGTTTGACCTTTGAAAAATAATTATGTTAAAGTGCCTCACAATATGCAAATTGATGTGATATATATTATCCTGGATCCAGAAGAATTCTGAAATCAAGGGAACATATTAATTCCTACCTGAAAAATAGACCATTTTCCTTCAGAGTTGAAAATTTCCTTCAATCTTCTCTTGAATTCAATTTCACGCTTAATACCAGAAGGAAGAGTCTCCAATTCTTTCTCATAACAATCTACAATTCCTTTAGCATTGAATTTTACTCCAAATGTTATATTTTGCTGTCCAATCTGTTCAGGTAATGTAACAATAACAAATATAGTTCAAGTCATTAAGTAAGAAAATACTTCAAATGATGTCAATTTTTAGTTCGGGTAACAGTAATATAAAACATACAATGAGACTAATTTAAGGTTGCAACTCAGAGGAGTAAATTAGGTAAAACCGTGGTTGGCCTTGCAACAATGTAATCTTATAAAAAGTTTGACTCTTTGTATAAAAAGTTGGCCAATACAAATAAATTTCAACAAGAACATAAAGAGATATTCTAATTACATCTCCAAATTTTTCATTCAGAAAATGAAAGCAAGCCTAAAACAACCTTAGCACCTTATTTGAGATTAATCAAATCAGCACAATGCAGCGTGAAACAAACAGCCAAAAAAATGCAACTAATTTCCAAAAAAAAAAAATCAAACTTTAAGAACCCTATTTGGAGCACAACTCGTGATAGAGAGGAACCTGCAAAAGACGGGCATAATTGTCACCCTTTTGAAATCAGCCAACTTCTCGTAATCAGTCAAGATGTTTCAAATGGAAGACAGAGAAGCTTCAATGGAAATTCTCGATTCGATTCTGCACGAGTTCTTGTCCAGTTTCATCACCTCTACGCACACCCCATCCTCAACTAAGGACTCTTCCTACTCTTCAACCCCCCACATCACCGAAAGTGATGGGGTCGGGTTCTGAAGCAGCAGTGCACAAGAAGGGTGTGGAAAGAAGCAAGGTTTGGGAGAGGATAGTGAATGATGGATCTTGAAATGAAAAGGGTGGAAGAAGATTAATTGTATAACTAATTTTGTTAGTACATAATTAATTACAAATATAACCATTTTTAACTCTTATTCTTTTCGCTACAAAACTTATATTTTTTTTTCTCTTCAACTCATTTTTAAATATTTCATTTGTCATCACAATCTTTATTGTAATTTTTTTTCTCTAGGATGCACAAAATTGATCGCCTAGTGCTCGTTGGCACGACTAGTGATTAGCAGAGTGATTCTTTGTCATACTATAACTTTCGTATGAGGTAAGGTCTTTCGTATTTTGTCATACTATAACTTTCAAAAATATATTGAGGTCCCATTTACAAAGTATGCACTTTCTTTCTTTACAAAGAATAAAAAAAGATGAATCATATTTTTCAAGAAAGGTTTTTTCGCTTCCTCAAAAGAACTTGATAAGTTATACATTTTTTTTTCTTTCTATATATGTCATGAAACAACATTTTAGCATTCATTTTTTGAGATTTATATTATATTTTAAGGTGACTTTTTGAATGTTTAAAAAAAGTTTCTTTTTTAATGTTAGTGTATGAAATATCCATCCATTTGTAGGTGTTGGCTCAAATGTTTGAGCTGACAATACTTTTTTTTTATCAGAAATCGGGTCAGGATTGGTCTAAGAAAAACATTTCTCAAGCAAAAGGAGTGTTTATGCTTCATGGACATTGTGTCGTTAGAATACTTTGTTAATGATACCTGTTTCAAATTATTTTTGTTTCTTAAAAGGTAGCCTACTCATAACCTAGGACAAGTTTGTATAACACTGGCCATCTACTTTGATAGAATGAGATGCTACCACTTTTTTATTAATATTTTTGGGTTTATAATGAGTTATATGTATGCTAAATATATATTGCAAATTTCCTAAAATAAAGGTTTTATTCCCCATAAATCAATTTTTGAATTCGTTAACTAACCTTAATATATATTGCAAACAAAAATGTATAATTAAAGAAGTATTTATTAAATTTATAAAGTTAATGTATTGTATTTATTATTGTTAAAATTTTATTCCTACGTTATCAAAATATATTGATGTATATATATATATATATATGCAAACTAACATTAATTATTATTTTGAAAAATAAAGAAATAATTAAGAAGAAATAATTTTTTACTATTCTATCAAAAGATATTAATTTGTTTTTTCAAACTAATATATTCTAATTGTTTATTTTTTATAATAAACAATGTATAATTCTGAAGAAATATTCATTAAAAAATTTAATTTAATATTTCACATTCATCTTATTTATTAACATTTTATAATAGTTCTTTATTAAAATTATTAATTCATTTTTTCTAATTATTTATTTAAACACAATAAAATGAAACACTGTATTTCCACTACATAATGCAATTAATGACAAATAAATTTATTGTCGTAAATAGTATTTGAGTTCATCTCAGCTTTGATCAACAATTTTTACATTCACAAAATACAGATATATAAATACAAATACTGTTCGATTTTTTTACCTTGAGTATGAGTAGAGTTGGTCATACCTAACTAAATAATACTAAACTATAGTTAATTGTAATTTTAATAAACTAAAAATTACTGAACTATTATTTGTTTAATTTTAAAAAATTAAAATTATATTAATTAACTAATTAACTAATAACTGAACTACTTAATGAACTGTATCAAGGTAAAACAGTGTTTGCTTTTGTTAAAAGAATAATACTTTCTTGTAAGTGTTGAGTTTGTTGGTTAGAAGAACTTATTACAAGATTTCTTGTTTTTCTGTTCAAATTTTCCAAGTAGTTTTTATTGCAGATATTTTATTTTGAGTTAAATATTATTCTTTGTTTTTGTCTTTTACTAAAAATTATATATTTTTAGACTTTATAAGACTTTATATAAATCATATAAATTATTTATGAGATTAAATGATAAAAATAAAATATCTCTTCAATATAATAAAACAAAATAAAAATTATGAAATTAAATAATAGATAATGGATAATGATTAAATAATCAGAACAATTTATATTCTTATATTAAAAACCTAAATGATTTGGAACCAATATCTATTAAGAAAGTAAAACATAAAAAAATCTAAGATTATAGATAAAAATTAGATTGCGAGTAATAATTCAAAATTATAATTATTGAGATTAAATAAAATATGCAATACAAATAAAATTTTATAGTTCTTTATATATTTATATATATAATACAATTTTTAATTTATACATAATGTATACATAATAATAATCTTGAACACATATTTATAGATAATAGAAAAAAGTATTAAGTATTCATATTTTATAGGTACTTGAACTTTCTCTGGTTCACAATTTAAGAATAATAGGAGACGAGAGTGTTACAGAAAGACCATCCATATACTTCTGAAACAGTTAACTAAACTTAAAATCATTTGAGTTCAAAGCTGAACTACAAAATAGTATATTTAATTTTTAGTAAAAATAGATTAGTTTTTTTTAAGTATGATATAGTACAACTATAGTTTAATATAGATCAATTATTTTGCCCACTAAGTATGAGATATAAATAAAAATGTGCACATCTCTCATATCCAGTATCTTTCCACATATATGTTTTCATTTTAATTACTAAAACATATTTTATTTAATAAGTAATTTAAAAAGTTTATATTAACTTTTATTTATTTTACAATTTATCTCAAAGTCGAATATTTAATATTTTCTATATTTATTAGACTTTTATCCAAATATCATTTTATATTTATATAATTATAAAATTTTAATATTTAGGTTTAATTGCTTCCTTTGTCCCCAGTTTGGTTGAATTGTGTCAAATTCATCCTCATTTTTTAAAAAGTTTCATTGTCGTCCTCACATGGTGTAAAAGTGTCAATTGAATCCAAACATAGAAAAAATTTGTGTCAATGTAGTCATCTCCGTTAAATACACACTAACGGTGTTAAGTGGCTGATTATTTGGCACTAACGTGGCAAATGAGTCACAGTAGTGGTAATGACGTGTGCACAAACTCTGGCCATGTGTTCCCCTCTTCTTCTGATACTTCCTCTTCTTCTTCTTCTCTTTTTTCTCCAGGGTAGTCACAACCACCGGCGTAACCAGAGCGTCTTTAATCAAATCAACAATCAATTTATCCCTAACATCCCTCATGACAGCATTGATCACCAACCCCACTTTCATCCCATCTAACAAAACACTAAAATCAGCCTTTATATACCACAAATAAGCAGCAACGGTTTTGTCTCGCGGGGATTTCACGAAGAACTTGAGTCTGGCGCCCCACTTGAATTTTTCGTCGAGGACGGCGTTGCGAAGGGCGAGAAGGTCCTGGAGGGTGGAGGTGGAGATGGAGGAGCGGGGGACGTAGGAGCCCGTGTCGTCGGTGGCGACTTTCTGGTAGGCGAGGAGCCAGAGGTCGAAGCGGCGGAGGAGGGGGGAGATGGAGGTGACGACGCGGTCGGGGTGGCGGAAGTTGTCGATCCACATCTGACAGCAGAGGGAGACGCCATCGTCTCTGGAGAGGGTGGAAGAGGAGAAACGACGAGGGGAGGAGAGAGGTGGGTGCAGGATAGGAAAAACTGAAATTGGCCGCAGGGGATTGGTGGTATTGGGGAGAAGTACATGGCGGAGGCGGCCGGAGAAGAAGGGAAGACGGCGACGCATTTGGAATTAGTGTTGTCCGAGCATTGGCTTGGAAGGGAGTGAGGGAGGGAAGCAAAACCCACCAAAAATTAAAAGTGTAAGACTAAAAGCCTCCCCTTGTCTCTCTTCCTCTCCCTGCAACCAAATACAGAACAGAATATACATTCATGCTCTTCCCTCTTCTTCTTCTCCAAAACCATTCTAATTAATTAAATCAAAACACACTATAAAATTATATTCTTTTCTTCTTCTACCCCCTCGCACTAATTTATCAAAACCCTAACACAAGATGGTGAAGGTGCGAATGAACACCGCCGATGTAGCCGCCGAGGTTAAATGCCTCCGGCGCTTCATTGGAATGCGGTGCTCCAACGTCTACGATCTTTCTCCGAAGGTAGCTCCTCCCTTTTCATTTTTCGTTCTTTCACTTTCCTCAATTCGATTTGATTCCATTTTCCTTCTCTGCAGACCTACGTGTTTAAGCTGATGAACAGCAGTGGAGTTTTGGAATCTGGGGAGAGCGAGAAGGTTCTACTGCTCATGGAGAGTGGCGTGAGATTGCATTCTACTATCTACATGCGTGACAAGAGCAACACGCCTTCTGGTTTCACTCTCAAATTGAGGAAGCATATTCGTACCCTGGAGAAAAAAGAGAAGAAGAAGAAGAGGAAGTATCAGAAGAAGAGGGGAACACATGGCCAGAGTTTGTGCACACGTCAATTACATTATGTGACTCATTGCCACGTTAGTGCCAAATAATCAGCCACTCAAGCACCGTTAGTGTGTATTTAACGGAGATTGACTAAATTGACACAAATTTTTTCTATGTTTGGATTCAATTGACACTTGTACACCATCGTGAGGAGGCAATGAAACTTTTATACAAATGAGGATGAATTTGACACAATTCAACCCAAACTGGGGACAAAGGAAGCAATATTAAACTAATATTCAATTATAGTGAAGAAAGTAAACATCTCATTAAATATTTAATGATGTAAACGTTTTACTGATTTTTGTTGTTTATAAAAATATTTAATTAATATTTTATATAAAAATGTTATTGAGAACTATTCAAGTAGATGAAAAAAATGATTTAATTAAATTTGTGAGCATAATTTTCTGAGTGTTGCAGAAAAGATCCAAAACCTACGTTATTAACTAAGCGACGATAACAATGTGTTTTATACATAGAAATGAGAATAAAGTAAAAAATCAATGACATTGAAAACTAGTTAAGTTCGACCTATTACAGAAGGCATATACATTATATACTTGCATTTGTTTTTCTTGGTGAGCTACCACGTTTTTTAGTGTTGTGAAAACAGGTAATCGGACTAGTTCATATACCATGGATGGTCAC